AGGGCACCACGGCCTTACAATATTGACGGTCAACAACTGTTCTGCCAGCCAAAACAACGCCGCGTGCGCGCTAAAACCGGCGGCGCGGGACACCAATCCCGCAGACGCACACACGAAGATGGGCCGGTTTCGTTAGGGATGAGCGGAAATTTGAAACCAGCCATCCGTGCATGCGAGAAACGATACCGCCTGCTTGCCCTAGCTTCGAGCGCCCTATCCTTACCTTGACACGGCCGTGCTCTCTCTCGGGGGAGATCCGATAGCACTGAAGGGTTATCTATTAAACTTGAGGAAGAAAACGAGAAGGGACTGTTTAAGTTTAATTATCCCCACCAACCCGCTCGTTCTGTCCCGATAAAGGGTTATCTCTTTTGGAAACGGCAAAGCCCGGAGACTGACATTAAAACGAGCGTGTTGGTAAATATACTTCTGTTTGTATTCTGCCCGGAGATAAAGTTGGGTCAAAGTCAGCCTCCTTGTCAACTATAACCGTTTGTGAAGAGTGGGCTTCTCCCGAGATAAAAAGTTAGCGCCGGCTGACGTGTTCTTTTGAAAAAGGGAAGGGGAAAGAGAAAGTTTGAGTAACTGCAGAAACTACCTCGAAAGCTCCTCTCCCGATATGAAGGTTAAAGCATAGTCTCGGTTACCTTCTCGCGCGTCGCCTGCTCGAATCTATTCTTCACTTTCTTTCGTACAGCTACTGTTCCGCACAGCCGTCGTGGCTGTGCGTAATAGAGGGAGGAACAGATTCGAGCATCATCTGGACGCCGTCATCCTGCCAGACTTCAGTGTCGTGGGACCGACTCGTGTGTGTTTCTTCGCCCCGCTGAACTTTGTTTCGCGGGTGGGGTTTTTTCTGAACTTTCTTTTTTTCAATGTTTTCTTACTTACTGTTTGTTAGCACTGTTCAGTTGTTGGGTTTATTTCGTCATGGCGTAGCGGCCTGGCGGTGATGTAGAGAGCTTGTTCGCACGCATTTGGTTGCGTCCCGTTTAGGGAATGCCCGGAGGAGTTTGTTTTTGTTCTTGCCATGTGCGGCTGAGTTTTCCCGTCTTTTTTACCTTTACGTGTCGTCGGCTTTTTTGTCTGACTCTCCACCAGGCGTAGACCTACCGACTTGCCACCGCTCCAACCTAAATACTTTATTTTTTGAACGCAAATTTCGTTAAGATCGGAGTTGGGCAATTTAATTCCTATGTATTTATATTTCCTATTCCTCTCCGTGACACACTCTGTGTGTTTCGGACCGTTTCTGTGTCATCACTTTTGTGTATTACGGAAGTGAAAGGACATTCCCTGGTGACCTGTGCGATGTGCGGTGAACAAACCCCAGTGTTGGGTTTCGGAAAGAATTGTATATAATATATCGACGATGTGGTGACCTTCTTTGTCTTAGTAATATGACAGCTAATAGCTAGTCGTGCTAGTTTATAGTGAAAGGTTTATAAATCGAAACAATACAACGTCTGTGCCTTTTGGTTATTGAAAGTCTACTAGGCCTGCTGATTTGGTTAGATAAGTATCTCGTGGTTCCCGCTCTTATCAAAACATAAATAAATATTCAATACCACAAAATCCGTTTATAATTGATTACAAAATGCAGAAGAAAATTCAAGAAAACTTTTTCACAATTCATAGAGACGCATGGGTCTCTATGTCCGACTTAGGTCTTGCAAAACAAGGACGTCTTTTTCCGATATTGAGGCCTAAATATTAAACATACAAACAAAATACACACGTTCTCGGCTTGATTTTCGTGTAGACAACTATCATATCTACATTTGAGAAAAAAAATAAAAAAAAATAAAAAAATTGTTTTTTTTAGAAAATCAATTTCAAAAATGGTACTTTTTGGTTTTCGCATAACATTAACGTAAACGTACCGCAAAGGATATTTCATACAGCCGAGTCATTTTATAATACATATAAAGATCGTGTTTTGGGCTCTCCGTGGACATAAAAAAATATTAATGTAACTCAAGTAGATCGCCAGTAATTAATTGTCAAATTTCGTCAACAATTGACCGAGGGGGCGTTTTTGACATTTTTACAGAAAACAAAAAAGCAAAACGCCTAAAGCTATTTTATGGTATTGGAGCCTTTTAAATCTGTCCAGAGAGTGCTTGAAAAAAAGATAATATAATGTGGACTGAACATCCACGGCGGAAGATCGAGCGAAGCATCCGACCCACGACGGGTGTGAAAAACACCGCTTTCTGCCGCGGCCTCTTTAAAAATTCAGAAGTCGAGAACAAAAACTCCGACGAACTTGCGGTTTATGGCGACTGCGGTTTTAGAAACGGCGCCATAAAATATATTTTTTTTTTATCGAAATTAAAAATTCGACCCTTTTTGCCTGCACGATTTGAGATGAAACCACCCATATATATATCATTGTTTTTTTTAAAATCATAAGTAAATAAGATTTGTTTGATTTCAATCGAATCTATTTGATTCAAACTAAAGGTATTTGATTTATTACAAGTTAGTTAGATTTAGATCACTGTTTACCGATGAATGCGAAGGGACGATAAAATAATGAACTGAAATAAACGTTTAACCGGGCGATATTGCGCGCAAACTAAAACGAACAACCAAATCTGTAAACCAATATAACTGTATAGAGCGTCGCGAGCGTCCGAGCGGTCAGAAATGCAGAGTCGGGCGCCGGCGAAAGCTAGAGTGCGTCGCGTCGAAAGGGTGTGAGAGAGTCGGCACGGCTGCGTTCGGATCCTTATCGAGTATACACTCGGTTTCTCAAAGATTCGGCCTAGAATGTTCGGAAGTGAGCTAAGGCGAGACTGACTAGGCAAGGTCGTTCTGGCCTCGTTATCTTTTACACTCGGGGTAAAAGTATACAGGAATATTCTGGATATACCAAGAAGCGTTCCATTTTGGTCATGCATGGGTCAACTCTACTTTAAACTTGGATTGAGCGCGTTGGTAATAAATTCAGAAATATACGAAAGAGTCAGACGAAGAGGACGGACAGGATCTGAGGTCGCAAAGATGTTTGTCCTGTCCGTCCTCTTCGTCTGACTCTTTCGTATATTTTTGAATCTAAAAGTTTGATGAAAATAATCCCTGGAGAAGGGAAGCAAGAAGGACAAAGGACAAACACAAACCTCCAAACACAGCTAGGTGACTGGGGCGCGACCGAAAAAAATCCGCCTGGTCCGGGTATCGAACCCGGGACCTCTCCATTTCAGGTGGAGCACTCTACCAACTGAGCTAACCAGAGGTTAGACGTCAGTAGAGCAAACGGGTTTTATCAGCTGCCACCAGTCTAACACCAACGAGGGAGAAGCTTGCAATTTAAGGTTATAATTATAATGCAATTAATTGCAAGAGTGCAAGCGAGCTGGACAAGAATGTTGAAAATAATCCCTGGAGAAGGGGAACAAGAGGGACAAAGGACTAACATAAATCTCCAAACACAGCTAGGTGACTGGTGAGCAACCGAAAAAATCCGCCTGGTCCGGGTATCGAACCCGGGACCTCTCCATTTCAGGTGGAGCACTCTACCAACTGAGCTAACCAGGGTTTAGACGTCAGTAGAGCAAACGGTTTTATCAGCTGCCACCAGTTTGGATTTTTTTTTATCTACAGATATATTTTTAAACGTGAAAGATTGGTATTACCTAAATAATAAAAAAATATTTTGTTTAATTTTTTATCTTGCGTTCTCATTTGCTTGCAAAAAGACGTTACGTAACTCACGCACAAGCGTGAGGAAGAAAGAAAACTTAACGCTCCGATTTGTTTAAAATATCACTCATTTTTGCTCGTGTGCTCGTCTTCAGCCCCATATAACTCTTCTGAGGATTCTGGGACTTAAATACAGAAAAATGTACATGGAAGGAATCAAAGAAAAGACAAACGGTAATTAAAATATATGTCGGGATTACTTTGGTGCGTAAGGTTAGATTTAAATAGTCACTGCGGAACTGATCTGATTTAAATTACGATATGCATCGTGATTCAGATCATCTTTATTTTCCTTTTCCACACTGAGAAGTACAAATTACTATTCCGATGTCTTAGCTAATATTAGTAATTACCGCGTTTACTGCTGTGGTGCATTTGAGGTGAAACAGTTAGAAGAGAGGTAGTGACGGTCATAGAGGGCTATTAACGGCCGCAGTTACTATCTTTTTGCTAACTTGTTTTTCCAACAGCGTGCGAGTACGTATATTTTTATCATTGTAGAGATTTGAGGTCGCAACTGGCCCGACAATCCGCATCTGGTTGTGATTCTCGAAGAGCGTAATGAGCTTCCCTTTTAGTGGAGTCAGCGCCTGCTCAGAGAAGGTGATAACAAGCGTCTTTTCCCGTTACCATTTAGTTACAGTGATTAAGAGAAAACTCGAAAAGTCTCCGCGGCAACGCATCCACAAATGCTGCGAGGTGGCAAGTCAATGTATTCGAACCCCTCGCAATGTAACTTGAACTAAACGAAATTGCATTAGACGAAAGCTCTGCCTCCTTGTTTAATTAACTGGGGCTACATTTAAAAACATTGAAATAATAGTTCCCCCTCCTCTACTTCCACGGATTGGGCCATCGGCTGCAGCCTGCTTACCCCCCCCCTCCTTTCCCTTAATCCAGCGCTGTGAAAGACACGGTTCACACTGAATTTTCTAGAGTTCACACAAACGATCATAAAAAACCCTGTATGATGCTGGCCGTCACATGCTGAGTAAAAGTTTAAATTTTTGAAGTTTGTTTCTAACCTCATGTGAAGAGCGTCTTTTAAAAGTTCCAGCACCCACCGACTAACGCAGCGCTGCAGGCGACGCGAGAGCAGAGTGCAAGAGGCAGGGTAAAAGCGCCGATATTTACCATTAGGGCTCCTGTAATCGCCGATGGTTAGTCGGTAGCCGTCTTTTTTGGGACCGACTTTAAATTTACCATACTGCACAATAATTGTTTCGTCCTTTAGTGATGTCAGTTCAATCCTGAGAACTTGATCGCTATTTGGATGGGTCGTGAGGGCATGAATATTGTTGAGCCCTTTAGTGGAATGCAAGAAATACATTCAGGATTAAAACACCAATACATCCTGCAAAGTAAGACTAACTCATAAATGTTTTTTTTTAAATTGATTATTTTATGATTGAGGTAAGGCGTAAGCTTACCCCTAACATAAGCTGCAGGAATGAGCATCACATTTTAAACCTGAAAGCCAGCAAAGTGTTTGTAAAGACTCGCTGACTTTACTGACCTGGCGTCAGTAAAGTGAACAAAACTGCAGAAATTAGCACCCTGTTTTATATATGGATGCCCGCAATCGTAGGCAAAGCCTCACTGACTTTATTCACTTTACTGACCTGTTCTTTACTAGCAAGAAGCATAGGACAAACCAATCTAAATATAGTGCATTGAAAAGAAAAATATATTTGAGTAAAATAATAACGATTCACACATTTCTTTAATTCACGATGTTTTACATATAATTATGTGCACCCATAGCAGTGGGAGCATATAACAGTACAATAAGTATAGTTCTATAATTGTTTCCCCTCGTGATAAAGATGAAATGTAGGCCAATAACAATTCCACCTTTTGTTGTTTTCTGTGTAATGCAAGAATCAGTTTTATGGATCTTTTTTCTTCACGCAATAATACATTTTTATGAAGACGTTTTTTGGTTTTTTCTCCATTTGATTGGGGGTAATTGTAGATAAATATGTAACCTCACTGACAGATATGACTTGATGAGCGTTTTATGTTCACCATTAAATTTAGCGGGAAGGTTTACCACGTCGCGTGACGTTACCATGTGATGTGACGTCACGATGGCACGTGACACCTGTAAACGTATTCTCCATTCAGATGAGTTTGGCGGGATCCTAGGCATGCTTTTCTTATCATTTCTGGTTCAATTTTCGAAGTGAATGCACAAGGATTGGTATAACTTGCCTATCCAGTATGAAGACGCGCCTCCGCGAAATCCTTCTTCATAGTCTTTTTCAGATTTCTCGAAGCCATTGCCCTCAAGTTCGTCCCAGGACCGACGTTGGATCACCTGGATGTCGATTGAGGAGTAAGCACGAAATCAAGCTTGTTTCTGACTTCTTTATGCTTATGCGAAGTAATGATATTTATACCCAAAGTACCCGATCCTCTACCGCCTGGTTCGGGGAACCGCACAGACACGTTGAAGACGTCTGGCAAGGGCGGTCTTGGGGCCCGGGGCGCCCACCTTGACGTATTCATATTTTCCCGAGCGACATATTGCCGAAAGCGCAGCTAGCTGAGTAGGAAACGCGCCCGTGGCAGAATAAAGAAAAGAAAAACGCGCCCGTGGCAGAATGGTGATCGGGCTCGGCTCCTACGCAAAGAGCATAGGTTCGATGCCTGGGAGCGGATGTACCTTTTTGTTATTTCTGTAAATGTCGCGTTTTGGTGTATTCGAGAATTTTGTTACTTATTCGAGGTCGGAATATCCTACACAGTAAAAGTTTTTACACCCTTAAGGGTGTAGATCAGTTTGTCCCAGGGCTAACACCCTTAGGGTGTTCAGTCAAGCACCCTTTATAGTGGGTGCTTGCCCAGCACCCTTGGCGAAGGGTGCTTGGCATGGAATGGGCGCCCGTTGCGGTGGCCCAGTGGATGCTGGGCCACCCCAGCCAAACCAGCGCCGGGAGAGTATCACGCGACGTTTTGGTTGTTCAAGGTCACATGATGCTCTCTTGACGCTCGATTGGCCGGGATGGCTGGTAGATTCCGCCGCGCTCGGACGAAAGGTGAAATGAAGTACAAGCCCAAGTGAAAATTTTATAAGAATGTGTCCAATACACATATCAGAACTTGTAAATTGTACAAAAATCATAAAAGGTATTCATATTCTTATATTATTGTTATATGAAATACAGCTTATGTTTACTTTTACAGTTTTCACTTAGGGGATTGCAACTTCACCACATACGAGGCACGTGATAAAGAAATAATGAGTCACACTGAGCAGAACTCACCTCATGAAGAAGTATTACAAAAGAGCTCCTTGCAAGCCACATCATAACCCCGAGGACAACTGGGTAGTGCTACGGCGTCCCCCTTTCTCGAACTCTAAGTGAGCAATCAGTGGCCCCAAACATGGTACTGCACGGCTGAACCATTGCAAGCATCACGGGCTGCCACAAACGAAGCACGTGGAGCTTTCCTGGTTGGATAACACGTGACATGTTTTGTTTGTCTCAGAGGATTGCAGGAAACAAGCTTCGCTTATCACTTGTCCCCTTATGCGCATCAGTTTACTAATTGGAGGCATGGTAGAGGGGGTGGTCTAGCTTTGACTGAACCAGAGCGGTATTTCAGTAAGTGAAGCCCACTACATCAATGAGAATGTGTTAAATTTAACATTTATTGAACCGTAAGAGACAAATGAAAAATACAATGCATGCCATTCCATGACATAAATAATGCTATCTGCAAACATTTAATGAAAAATATCACAGAATGAACTCGCACTTTACGTCAAAAAAGCGAATGTTTCAGAAGACGACGCTATCCTCTTGCACATGTACAAGTAAAATTATAAAATTCTCGAAGACGACTATGAATGAGGAACTTGTACAGCTAAATATTTAAGCACCTCACCTACAGGAGGTCAGCATAAGCTATCACTGAAAGTGCCCGACGTTTAAAGTTAGAAAAAGAAACATACCTTTCATAAACCCTTCTATCATTCGTTCTGTAAGAAAAATAAAATTGACCTGATAATACTGACGAAAAAAGTGCATTATACGCTTTTAAAACGGCTCACCAAAATATCTCTTCAACCACACACCTGTCTGCATACTTTGTTCAAAAATTTAATTACGACTGCCCTTCGAGTTGTGTCACTCAAGCCAAAAAAAAAAATCCTCTCCAGAGCAACCGCGTGCTGAAGGCCTTGCGTTCGTACTGGATGCTGAACAGCCAATATACTGCCAACAACATGCACAGCCCCTCTCAGCATTAAAAACGGAGAACAAGCGCTCACGACCCACAACAAGGTGAAGAAAGTCTGCACCGTCCAGCTCTTGCTTGTTGTAGAGGACACATGGTGCCGGTGGAATGTTCTCGTCCTGCGTTAGGTAAAAGAAAAAAAGAAAAATGCATTTTAATGCAGAAGGCCAAAACATGTTTGCTCTTTTCAACTGCTATTATTTGCTGCAGTTAAGGCCATGAGCATCAGCCTCCACACAGGCATAGAGTGCTTATGTGTGAACAAGTAACCGGCGTCTGCAGCAATGTAAAACGAATGAAGAATTACAATCCGGATAACATCTCGACATGAAAGTATTGCGATATAATCTTAGGGACACTTTTGAGTATCTATTTCTGTACCAAGATGCATTTGGGAAATCTATTTGTATTTCAGTAGTGAAATACTTTTCCGATGTACATTATGATACGCTGCTAGACTGATGTATTTTGCTACATTTATTGCTGAGAATGAGCTGACAGGTTTGGAGATAAAAAAATAGAATCCACGCCACAAATCGGACGCATCACTGGTTCATTTTCGCAATGAGTGATTTTTTTGCTTTGCTATCAGATTTTGCTTCTACAGCGGCCGCTTTTCTTTTTGCAAACAGCGGCCTCCCTGTGAAAGTTTGAGGTTATTGTTTGGATAAGAGGACACCAACAAATGCACAGATGAGAAACAATATGTCCAAAAAGGTGAGAAAACAAAAAGCAGGGACGTTTGGGCAGACACGCTTTGTCAGGCGGTCTCATCGGTGGCCAGCGTTCTTTGGGTGCGATAATGGGTTCTTATCGGTATCAGCGAACATGGCCAAGGGAAGGCAAGTTTCAAGAAGAAAACGGGACAAACACCAACAGAAGGCAGGGAGCTCCGGTGCTACAATATATGTCCGCCACGAACACACTTTTTTCACCTCGCCACCCTACATTTAAGAACCGTATAGGGCTGCCGACTGACCATAATTGTACATGATGATATTTGTCCCTTGGCTAATGTTAATTTTGCTTTCTCCTCTACACTCAGCAAATAAAGATGAGGGTTGCAGAAAACAGCAAACATAATAATGTCTCGTATGTAGCCGTAAAAAATAATTTTCATGAGCTACATTTTATGTACAGACACCGGCCATATGAGCTCCCCCGTCCGAACACCAACCGGTGCAGCGAAAATCCAGCATGCAGCGCGTCAAGCGTGGCAAGGTTGACGGCTGTGATTTTCAACGGTGGAGGGGGTGATTGCACACAAACAGGTGCTCGTGATAATATATTTCTACAGCTGCCTATGAGACAATGTTGTGTTTGCGCCTTGCTGTACCCCTCAAATTCGTGACAGACGAAGGTGTTCTGAAAAAATATACAATGAGCTGTAATATTGTTGAAATTTGGGCTAGCTGGTGAAACATGATTACGGGTAAAACAGCACGAACAAGGACATTCTACAGAGATGTACGTAGACGGATCGCTGAATGTCAACTGTTCATTTTTAATGAAACGCCCAACGGCGTGGTCACACCAAACAAAAATTACACCACGACACATGATCGTCACAAGTTAAAACCCCTCAAAAATGCCAACTCACAATCACAAAGATCTATCGAAGGCACGCTGACACAGTTGTCTTTGAACTTGGAATAGTAAAAGCCCTCAGTTATCTCTCTAGTTCGTTGGTGACTCAGGACCGTGGTATCTTCCAAAACCGCAGAACAACCACATCTGTCGCAGTGAACCGCCATATTCCCTGACGGAGATGCCCTAATCGAACACGCGTGTTCACGTAATTTATAATTAATGCAGCGGCCAGTCTGGCCGATGTAACTTTTTTATAAGTCAGGGGATTACTTGTGTTTTTATGCTTCTTATCATATGCGGCCCTGACAACCGATCCCCTCTCCACCCTCACACATAAACGTCCCAGCTTGGCCGGTACTGAGAAAACGACAGGACCATCGTCGCGTTGCGCTACTTTCTTTAACCTATGCGCCACCTTATGGATTTCTGCGTAGAATTCCTACCCATAACTACCTCCGAATTTCTCACCCTCCTCAAGAGGCACTCAGCCACACCTACCAGGAAATTGCCAGGACAGCCGCCCTCCAAACGTTTGTTATGGGTAGGAAGTCTACGCAGAAACCGGTGGTGGTGCCTATATCCATAAGGTGGCGCATAGGTTAAAGAAAGCGCAACGCCACAATCTTCCGGTTGTTTTCTCAGCACCGCCTAAGCTGAGATGTTTATGTGTGAGGGTCGAGAGGGGATTGGTTGTCAGGGCCGCACGTGATAAGAAGCATGAAAACAAGTTTGTCCCTTGCGTGGGTGTGTGTGTGGGGGGGGGGGGGGGTCTACAGTAATTCCCTGACTTGAAAAAAAGTTTACATCGGCCAGACCGGTCGCAGCATTAATGATAGATTATGTGAACACGCGTGTTCGATGAGGGCATCTCCGTCAGGGAATATGGCGGTTCACTGCGACAGATGTGGTTATTCTCCGGTTTTGGAAGATACCACGGTCCTGGGAAGACACAGTCACCAACGATAACGGAGGCCTTTTACATTTCCAAGTTCAAAGACAACTGTGTCTGCGTGCCTTCGATAGATCTTTATGATTGTGAGTTGGAATTTTTGAGGGACTTTAACTTGTGACGATCATGTGACGGTAATGTGTCGTGATGTAATTGTTGTTTGGTGTGACCACGCCGTTGGGCATTTCTTTAAAATAAACAGTTGAAAGTCAGCGCTCCGTCTATGTACATCTTCTCTGTCCTGTGTCCTTGTTCGCACTGTTTTACCCGTAAACATATAATGAGCTGTCTGCGCCAAGAGAAGAGCAATTTCGGTGGCCCAAAAAGTAACCTGCGGCTGCTGGATGACTTGATGTAAACTGACCCAGAATTTGCAAGCTTGTAGAGAGGTGCAGAAACAATGTGATATCAAACTGAAAAGTTAATCATCTCAAATCATTATCCAATTTAAGCCCAAATTCTATGATTCGCACATGGCTATTATTTTCAGTACGAAGCCAAAGACAAACCAAGTAGAAGTCCGTTAAATTTATTGC